TTTTTTGTTGCAAACTATCATTTCTGGGTGAACTTTTTCTTTAAGACCATAATCCTACTGCAGCCTACACTCCGCGTAAAATATCTTCTGCACAAGAAAATCTGCATACAAATAGGCTGCATAAGATATAGCATAAGTCATAATGCAACTATTATTTTTCATTGTTCCTGACAGTCTGATCTGGCAGTAGACAGAGCTGTCTTATTTTGTCTGGATGAATAATTCTAAATTACCACTAATTATTAACAAAGTCTTTACCATCTATACACCCATAACCATTCTCTATGTACCAAAATGGTGTTGGTGCTCCGAGTCAGCATATTTTCAAAAGAAAATAGACATTAATAATTCAATCTCATCTTTTTTCAAAACAACTAGCAATTATGTGCAGTTCTCTCTAGATTCAAAGCACAAATGCATTGCCAAGCACAGATTCATCTGTTCTTAATAAGCAACTCCGCAGTTCTGTTTGATAGGCAACACATGTACCTCAGGCGTAACTTAGTGTTTTGCCTTGTTGGAGGACAAAAATAGATCCTCACACAGCGCAAGTGTTGACTTTGGCCTTAAGACAAGCACACGTTTAGCACACAGCGGAGAGCGACATCATAGCTGTTGTCCTCTTATATAACGTAACAGTAGATAGGGGAAACAGCGCTGTCAGGAAATCCCTGCCGGTCCTCCTCTCGCTGCTCCTGGTCGTTGCTAGTGCAAGGAAACACTCAGCCATGGAATTTCCTGCAGGGCTGCCAGAGACAGCCCTGTTGTTTCTGTGACTCGGCATCAGGCTCTGTTTTCACAAAACAAAACTTCAGTGCAGCAGCCATAATCTTACTTTTTTATTAGTACTTTCTTAATTGCTTTGTTTACAGGTAAAAAAAAATGAAAAGAAAAACTTTTCATGTCTGGTCAGTATTTATGGTCAGTGACTGACCATATTGCTGCTTTCCTGTGGCTGTTCTTTGAGATCAAATTTTTCAATATCCCATGATTATGGAGTGGTTCTGGTGTTACAGAGGTTTGCGCAGGATTAGAGTGAAAGGACATGTTTACCATGTGGTCAACTGGAAACAGCAATACACAAATGGTATCTGCCCTGAGTCTAAGTGTAGTTTCTTCATGTCTTGCTCTGCTGTCTGTCACATTTGTGTGCTTAGGGCTTTCCAGGAGATTTTGGGGAGCGAGGAACACCAGGACCTGATGGAAACCCAGTAAGTAGTGCTACATCAACCTCTTGGCTACATCAATCTCTTGGGGCAACTCCAGTTTTCTAATGCTCAGATAGATTTAAGCATAGATATATGGGGTTATATTTATTATCAGGTTTAGTGTATCAGAATATTACCACACAGCGGGAGAAATGTTCACCAAAAAGTAATCGCAAAGTCTCCTAGCCTCTGCTTGCCCTTTTCCTGCCTGCCATACATTGATATACAGTATGACATACGGTTATACAAGCTGACCGGGCCACTCAAACCACTCCACTCTAATAAATACCTTTGATTTCTGCCACCACAATAACACACACAAGCCAGTTGGGTGTCCAGTGTGTGCAGCTCAGCATTGAGTAATGAGGAAATCAGCTGTCACTACAGGAGTCTACAGCAGAAATATGTTTCAGCCATCACAGGGGTTGCTTCACTTCTAATCATTTTACCATATTCTTTAACCAATATTTCATCTTTTCTGTCTTATACATGTTTACATGTACCATAATATTCAAATAAGTCATTTTTTTCTGTCACTTATTTGCATATTAGGAATTGTTCTACGACATAAATATAATATATTAGTAATGTATAAAATGTGTATTGTCAAAGATTATTAGAACAATCTGTAGAAAATTCAAGTGCAAAACATTTCACCAGCTTATTAGTGGTATTTGCTAAGCCAGTCATCACAGTCACTATTGCTCATAATTACGGTAAGGAGAGATGTGAGCTATTACTTTATTGCATAATCAGACGTTTACCTGGTATGGTTACCTGGTATAGTAAAAAAAAGAAAAAAGAAAGACATGCTGTTGTTCAGAACCCAGCTGATTTTCTTTCTTCGGTGGTACACAGTTAGAGGTAATTAAGTATCTGCTTGGTTTATTCAGTACAATGACAGTTTATAGTGCCTCACTTTAATGCTTAATAAAGCAGCCAAAAAAGTAAATGCGTCTCTAACATGCTCTGATTGGTTTTGTTGAAAAATAACCCAATCTTTAAGCAGTTTAACCAGTGAAATAGTGGCTGCCTTTGTGCTCCTGCTTTCTCCAGTCCAGTGGGTGGCAGAAATGTTCACCTGCTGCTTCTGCTGTTTCTGCCCATCAACGTAATTTATGTATTTCCAACACCTTTATCTGCTTAAATATCAGGTTGTTGTTTTTTAGAGCATTTGAAATATGATGAACAAGTTGCATGACCTTGTTTTGTACTGATTTTTGATGTAGTGATGTAGCTCTATTGTATTGAGTTCGTCCCACTGAATGTTTATTAAATTATTATCTTTTGTGTTTTACAGAAGAAACAAAGTCATGAGAACGAGTAAATGAACTGTCCCTTTATCTTAAGAAAATTCCAGTCATTTCCTCTGCTTAAAATCTGCCCTTTCTTTCAATTGGATAGAATACATTTGTCATTTTCAATAATCTATTTTACTTGGATGTATGTCACAATATGGTAGAAAAGATCTGTCACTACTTCAGTTACATCACAACTTTAAGATATTCTGCTGAGCTCATTTTACTAGGGTCAAGATATTCCGCTGAGCTCATTTTACTAGGGTCAATAACAAGCCACTTAGCAACATCCTAGCACACATAAACAAATCCATAGAAACCACTGAATCACATTATTAATATTAACACCTACTTAAAACCCTATGACAACAGCATAGCAACACCATGACAGCCACCCACAATGTCATGTCTTCAACTTCTGCACACCATTCACATAAAACATTTTTTTTGTTTAAAAATTTGGATTGTACAAAAGTAATTCAGTAAAAATCTTGCCCTTCTCGTTTTTTTTGCAAACAGCTCATTTCAAATATACACTTGAGTGAACTAACTTTTTCCTCGCTAACTCACTTAAGCCCTCTATAGCTGAACCGGCAGTAGCTTAGCATAGCGCTAGCTTGACTGCCTGACTCCCTGTTGTATAGGGTGACCGTACGTGCCATTTTCCCAGGACGCGTCCTGGCCAGGATTTCTATATTGCCTAAAATATCTAGGTTTTGGCTTTGTTTGCGTGTGCAGACCGATCGGTGTATGACATCAAAATACCTCAAGAGCATTTTGAAAGCATAAGGAACCGTCTGTATGGTATTTTGATGTCATACTCCGATCGGTCTGCACACGCAAACAAAGCCAAAACCTAGATATTTTAGGCAATATAGAAATCCTGGCCAGGACGCGTCCTGGGAAAATGGCACGTATGGTCACCCTACTCTTGTACTGTAACCCTAACCATATCGCAAATGTAGAGGACATGCACGCCTTCACCGCAATCCTTTTACTTCATCAGCGCTCACTCAGCAAGAGCAGCGGACCCCGTAACATCTATCTGCTCTCTTTCATAGAACTAGGAGAGCGAGAATACACAGGGGATTTTTTGGTCTGCTGCTGAGAGAGGAAGTAGGTATGGCAGGTAGCAGCGGGTCAGTTATGCCACAGAACAAGCCCCTCTCTGTACTCCACAGCGTGTCTCTTTCATTGGCTCACTGAGGGGTAGATGCAGGCAACAGATTAGCTTGTTATCAAGGAACAGAGGTTTCACCCCTTTTCTCCAGTGGCCTCAGAGTGACTGTTGTGCCAGAAACGCTCAATATCTGCTCTCTGTTTGTCACAGGGCGAGATGGGTGTCCCAGGTCCTGCTGGCATCCCAGGTTTTATTGTGAGTACTTTCCTACCCAACACTGATGCTTTGTGAATTGTTTCTTTTTTCTGTTGGCATGTAAATATAATGTGCATTGTACATTTTTATGCTTGTTTATGCTTTTTATATTGCATATGCAGGGTGATATGGGCCTTGTTGGAATTGTGGGTCTTCCTGGATTAATTGGACCAAAGGTGATTACGTTGAAATTTGTAATGAACATCCATGCTGAAAAGTCTATTTCAAACTAGCCTAAAGGGATTTGCTAGTCTTAGCTGATTTAGGATGGTTTGGCTGGTCTCCCAGCCTAAAAAGTTGCCAAAACCCCTCTAAAATAAGAAAAACACCCATCTAACCAGCTTGGTCAGGCTGGGAGAAATCAAAGGAAATTAACTTACAAATTGCTTATACTTATAGTTGTCTTTGCACACTACATTGGAATAGCAAAAAGGAATTTTAACATGATTATATTAACAATTGCTTTAAACAGCTATAGCAGTTACTAGGTCACACACAGTATTACATAATACTTTAATTTTCAAAACATTTAATGACTCATATATTAATATGGATTCTTTTCATAGCAACAAATGTTGTAGGCAAATCTAGTTAATACATTTAAAGAAAAGTTCAGTTTGCCTTCAAGGGGCATCAGATGGTTAAAATGTATGGTCTTCAATTCATAAAGCAACTGTAGCAGTTCTTCTTTTTAACATTTGTCTCTTTGGTGTCTTGCAGGGTGTACCAGGAAGCCCAGGCGAGTCTGGACTGAAAGGTGATAAGGTGATCTGAGTACCCTTTATTAGCTTTTGTTTCTTCTGGTTTTGATTGCACAGAGCCACTATTAGGGGAGACCGAGATCAGCTGTGACATGCTAAAATGTTGTCAGCCACAGATACAAAAAAGTTAAATGGTTTAGGGTCAGTTTTTTTAAGCAGTTCATACTTTTATTCACCAAGAATGCATATAATTGATCAAAAGTGACAGTAAATATATGTGTTACAAAAGATTTCTATTTGAAATAAACGCTGTTGAACTTTCATCAAGGAACATTCATCAAGGAAGATAAAAATGCATCACTGTTTTTCAAATTAAGCAGAAGTTTTCATCATGAATAATAATAATAAGAAATGTTTCTCGAGCAGCAAAACAGCATATTAGAATGATTTCTGAAGGATCATGTGACACTGAAGACTGGAGTAATGGCTTCTGAAAATTCTGCTTTGCCATCACAGGAATAAATAAAAATTTTTAAGTATATATTAAAATGGAAACCGTTATTTTAAATTGTAAAATTTCACAAAAGTACTGTTTTTCCTGTATTTTTGATCAAATAAATGTAGCCTTGGTGAACATAAGAGACTTATTACAAAAACAGTAATGCAATGTAATGACACCTACTCCACACATAACTCAGTTGAGTTCTCTCTCTGTCTGTGATTGTAAAAAATTAAATAAATAAATAGATTTTTTTCTATTTAAAATAGATTTTTTTTTTCAATAAAATTACTTTAAAATTCATAATACAGTAATGAATGTTATTCTATCAAGTATGATATATATATATATATATATATATATATATATATATATTAGGGCTGTGCAATATATCAAAATTATCGAAATATCGCAAATGTACATATCGCAATATGCATATCGCTACGGCTTGGAATGGGGCCAAGAACAAAAGACAAAGAGTAAATCACTCACTGCTCTTAGCTAAATAGCTTTTGTAGCTTAAGTTAGAATCAGTGCATATTGAATTCATAGAGTAAATGTTAAAAGTTAAAATGACATTTTTATGTAATGCTAGCGTAAAACACTACCGTTCACTTTCAGAAGTTGTTGTAGGGGTGCTTTCTTCTCAAAAAAAGTGAAACATGTATGCTAGTTATATTAGAATCAGAATCAGAATGAGCTTTATTCAACACTTAAGTGTGCGCAAAAACAAGAAATGTGTTGTGGTTTTACAGGAACTCTTTGTACATACATACAATAACCATATATATATATATATATATATATGAGCATGTGGCACTTTAAGCGTTATCGTATCGCATATCGAATATCGCATTATTTAATGAGTTATCGCATATCGCATTTTTCTTCAATATCGCACAGCCCTAATATATATATATGATATTGTTATTGAGGCGTGCTTTTATGTGAGATTTAATGTTAAAGCAGGCTGGTCAAGGCATTAACAGTGTAACCTCTGGCCTGCTGCTCCCCAATTCTGTCTCTCTGTCTGCCAGCTGGACAGGTGCTGACAGCCCTTTAATTAAATGTTGTATTGTGCTGCTAAGCAAGATATTTATAAGGCTTTGTTTTGGACAGCTACTCTGATCTCCATATCGTCTAGGTTACTTGTGTAACCCTCGTTCCCTGAAGGAGGGAACGGAGACGTTACGTTCCGTTGCCACAGTTGCTGTACCACCGCTGTACGGCCGGGGCACGTAGTCTCGGCTCCTCAGCGAAAAACTGATGTGCGTTTGCACGCGCTCTCCTTTTATATCCGCGCTGCGGGGCGGGGTGCGCGTGGCGAAACACGCACGCCAACTGTCATTGGCTTGTTTAGTTAACACTCGAAGGTGATTGGGCTCTCGGGCGAGATCCCAATTCGTCAGTCACTGACGTAACGTTGAACGTGACTGACTGAATGGGAACTATAGTTACAGACACATTGTAGCATAGATATAGATACAGTACAGACATAGATACAGTTAACTTGAGTAACTTGACTAATGCCGTGATTGAACTGCTGAGACATCCTGACTTAAAGGTCAGAAAGTTATGTTTTGTCACTGTTTTGTCTCTGTTGACAGGGTGAAGTCGGGTTGCCAGGTGAACCGGGAGAACCTGGATTTCAAGGTGACAAGGTATTTCAGCTAACAGCTTTTCTTTTGATGTATTCACACCAACCTGATTCACACACAGTGTCTGTGTACACTAAAAGAAAAAATAATAGTATAGAAACAATATTCACTCAGAAATAGCAAGTAAATTTCACAGTTAATTACAAAGAAACCACAACATTGAATTACTGTAACTGAAATTTTTAAATAGAAAGTCTGTATTTTCTTCATACTGCAGTAATCCTTGTTTTATTTACAACTTCAAAAAATGTGTGTGCATGCATTTGTATTTGTGTGTATTTATGTGCATTGAAAGATCCAAACAGAGGTTTTTAATTGAAATAACTATGTTCTGATAATTAATTGAATATCCCAGGGTAATCAGGGCTCACCAGGTTTACCAGGAATTCGAGGAAAGCCAGGACAACAGGTTAATTAATGAGATTTTCTTTTTAACTTAATTGTTTTTTACCAAGTTGATTAATCTTAAATCTTTAGTGCTGATTTGACAAAGAGTCAAATTATAGCAAGCTGATTGTCTTTCAGGGGAGGCCTGGAGATCAAGGCCCAGATGGTTTGCCAGGCCCACCTGGCCCTGAGGTAATTGTACTTTCATTTCAGGCCAAGTGTACTCTACAAAGTACACCTTTTGTACATTTATAGACTAACGATTTACACTACACATCTAATCACAAATCAGCCAAATCAGTGTCTATTATAAGATTATATTCCTCCCATGACTGCAATTCAGTAGAGTTGGGGTACTCGGACTCATACTCGGTCTCGAGTACTATTTTTAAAGGACTCGGACTTGTCATGGACTCTGAGGTATTTTCACTCGGAAAATATGTCCGTGTCCAACCAAGTCCAGGGACAGTTGACGGAAATGTCACTGACTCGATGCATTATCACGAAAGTGATATTCAATATTTGCATGTGTTTTTAAAGTATTGTCCAGTACTTGAAAGCCAACGGGTTTGTGCTCGCACACCGAAAGCGCGCTCACAGAATAATGCGCCTCTCAGTCCGCGTGCGAATGCAGAGTTCTCTTTCGCTTACGTTCTCTTAAGTTCTGTTATTGCTACACACTTACACGAAAAGTTATGTCAAAATGCCCGTCTTGGAAACTATTCATGTAAATGCAGTCTGTTTTGTCTTAAGTGAACTTGAACAGTTGGGAGAAATACGGATGTGTCAAAAATATTTGATCTATGCGTCAGGTCTTAAAGCAGCAGCGTAAACCTGCAGCCGCTGACTGCGTCATAAATGTTAATCAAACAAAAGAAAAGGAGAAAAATATTTTTTCTAACATCTTAGTGGCAATAGTCTTTATGGGTCCAAAATCACCTTGGGTGTGCATTATTTTCTAATAATTCAACGGCCCTTCATCAGTTAGCCTATTCCTTACATAATATAATTTATTGTAATTAATGTAACTATAAATGCATTCAAAAATAAAACAGGTGTGAGTTGGCTGTGACTTATGGAAAGTATATGTAGGGCTTTTATACACAGTGTGTTCCATTGTTCAGACCAGGTTTATCCCTCACAGCATCATTTTCATCCAAGAAAAAATTCAAAATGCCCTATCTAAGGGGTCCGTGTACTTTGGCGTCCATTTATTTTATTTTTTTTTTTAACCCAGAAATTAAAATGCGGTTTCTTCTTTAATGGTTCAATCACTGATGAATAGAATAAGCTGACACAAACTAATTTTGATTATTCAAAATTCATATTTCATTAAAAATTTTAAAAATTATATAAAGCTTGTTTTTTATTGAGATAAAAGGTGAATTTCCTGCTCTTAAGGTCCCATTCACCAAGATACCCCCACCCTTGAATTTATACATTTATTTTAATGATGAATAAAGTCAAGTCCCGCCCTTTAATTTTTCACATTCTAAAACCTGTTTCACTCTGAAATATGTCACAATACATAAATCAATTCAGCCATAACTTCTATTACATGACTTTAAGTTTGCTAAGCAAAGCAGGGCACTAATTATTAATCAAAAATCGAAATGGCAAGATGCAATAGAGGTTTGCTTTTGTTACATTTAAATGGACATTGTGTTTTTCTAGTTGTAACTTGTAAAGGTAAAAACAATGTAAAGATACTTATAAATAATCGTGTTTCGTTGGACTCAGACTCAGCTGTTTGGGACTCAGAATTGAGTCTGACTCAGCCCATTTCGGACTCGACTTGGGTGGACTCTAACCCAACACTACAATTCAGTTCTCACACAAACTCATGCACAAACTCACACAAAATAAACTACAGTGAAAGAGCAAAAAACATGACGCTGTGACTTTCAGCTGCACATAAGTGCACTTTTTATATTTTAAATCAGCAACAAAATATAGCCAACTCGCAGACCTACAACAACATAAAAGTGCACTTGTAGTGCACTTGGCTTTAGTAGTTCCTTAATTTTGTGTTCACAAAGATAGACATTAATTTGCTATTGTTTAGTAAGCTCACACAGTCCTCCAGTAATTTTCAGAGTGAGAAGTTGTAGTTGCGTAGCTCTTACAGAGGGAGTCTTCTTAGATAAAGTTTAATGAATGTAGTGCTAAGACTAAAGTTGTTACCTTTTCTCAGGGTTTTCCAGGGGATATTGGACCACCAGGACAGAATGGTGCTGAAGGCCCAAAGGTGTGCATCTCACTTCTTCAAGTATTTGGTCCCCTTCCCAAAATTAATTGTAATTGGGTCCCGTATTGTAAAACGGGGGCGGATATGCTAATTTGTAATACCTTGCAGGGGAATGCAGGAATGAGAGGGATTCCAGGCCCTAGAGGAGTTCCTGGACTTGAGGTAGGATCCCTTCATGCCTAAAGACAGGGACATTTATTCTTTGGTTTAGGAATAAATCTAGAATTAATAGCTGTAAATCTGAATGTACAACTGTGTACAGTATCTGCATATATAGTTGTAAACATTGTTTAACATTTATGTGACAATTATCCTCTGTGTATAACTGTGTGTCATTTAAAAAACATAAAATGTTACTTCATGCAACTACGTTTGTTGGCATATACAAGGAAGCAATTTATAGTCACAAAAACAACGTGTATTAGGTCCAGTTGTAAGTATAATTAATAAATATTTGCCCTTGGGTAAAGGCAGACTTATCCATGTTTGGATACATTCCAGAAAAAGACATACATTCTTAGTCACGATTTTTATGCAAGACCAGTAAAATTCCTTTGGAAACCAATCAAGGCCTGGAGTTTCACCATTATACAGCCATGAGGTAAATAATTTTTCCATAGATAAATAGGTGACACATTAATGCATAAAATAACTAGATTTGTTTAAATTGTTGCTAAAAAGAAGCATCTCTGAGCAAGCTGTGCCTGGTGGTACTGAACCAGCACAATGAGGCACAGCTTTAACAAAATCAAATCAAATGAACAAGACCAGATTAGAGCTATTCTGCGTTACTTGGTGTGGAAAATGACATTTATATGGCAAAGAATAAGCAACAACACATAGCTTATTAGAATCTAAGATGTCATTGTATTACAGGTGTTTTCAGAGGGCTTTTGCTCATATGCATATCAAAACAAAGATGAAAAAGTTAAAATCCTAATCAATATAATTTTATAGATGCTTATTACTTCTAAAATTATAATGATCATGTTTTTAACCACAGGGAGATCAGGGCCCAGTAGGACCACCAGGGGCTTCAGGACTAGAGGTGAGTGCTTTCTTGATACAGCTCTTGGATATCTTTGAGTTAAACTTCAATTAGACATCGCAACATTAGCTTTATAGCCTATTGACACTCTAAGGAACCTCACGGCTCATGACCAGAAGCTTCCTTTAAAGTGGTTGATGCTGGTTCATGTTCTGTTACAATGTACATCTTCACATTTGAAATGCGGTATGATTGTGCTGACAGTGTTTTTGATCAGGCTATTGCTGACATTACACATTGATCATTTTGCGATTGTGCCATCAGTTTGGTTTTCAAATCATTTTGCTCGATAACTGGTCAACAGTTATCAACAGTTACCCTTGTTTGATAGTTAATACTGGTAGTTTTCTTGTAATTTTATCATTTTGCTGTGTTACAGTTGAGCATTTAGCATAATATAGTAATCGTTTTTATGTTTTTAATAGTTTGTCACTCAGCAAAGACTTTTATAATGTGTGAGTTTCAAACCCTCCAAATACAACAATCTTCCTCTCTCCCAAAAAATTTCACAGCTCTGAACTGGTCACAGCTCATCTGGTCTTGATCCAGATCCAGCAATGATGGTATAAGTTGTAGTAAAGAATAGTCTGTCCTCATGCCAAAGCCTGTCATACAACAGCTGCCTGTACCTGACAGCAAGTGCTGAATTCAAATGAGCACTTTGTTGCATTTAACCCACTTTTTCATGTACAAAGCTTGCCAAAGATCTTTGCCCACAAAGGGAGTTTTTCCAAGTGAGGGCAGTATGAATAATTTAGCTAATGAGGGGTCAGACATTAGCTAAGAGATGACCGGAGGAAATTCATTCAGGCTCCAAAATAAACACTTCTCAGTATTTATTGTTCATTAGGTTTGTGAGGCTCAAGGTGATGCATCTGTTTGTGAATTATTTAATGAAGCTGCTCTCTCTGGGAGAGCTGATATATTGGTGAATGGAGGAGATTGGGCCCAGGAACAGGAGCTAATGAGACATCAGGGAGTAGATTTAGAGGAATGGGAGTCCAGTACTATGGGTCATTTCTACTTTCTGTTCAGGGCAGACCTGGGAGGAAGGGTTTCTCTGGGAATCCAGGGGAGGATGGAGTGAAGGTAAGAATTCATGACAGCCAAATGGCCACTATAATTTAAACTCCAATTTTCCATTAAATGTTTCTTTAACTATTTGGCCAAGTTTGGCCCAATGGAAAATCTTCAGACTCTCACTAGTTTATTTAATTTGTTCACTAACATTGTATTGTATATACAGTACATTCGCACATAGTTTTTTTCTATTAATAAGTAATCTATTCTTAATAAAAATTTCCACCACATTATTTCATCATCACACCATGTTTAACCCTATAAAGCCTGATTTATGAAATAATTGTCAAAAAAAATTATGTTAATATGTGTTTTTAATGAGTATCATACTTGATACATCAGGCATTTATGGCTCATGAATATGGAGATCGTAAAGACCTCAGTTTTATTCAGAGGCCAAAAATATATACAATTTGGTGGAGTTGCTGATATTTGTATGGCCAGAAGTAGTATGTGGGAAAATGCCTCATCAGCCATTTTCCATTCATGAGATAATCAGCTAGACCACTGCAAGAGTCATTTCCCTTTCAATGACATAAGGAAATTGTAGCCATTTGCTGCGTAAAGTGGTCTGGGAACAATGTCAAAGTTGAAACCAAATTCAAGCCACTCCAAAAAAAATCCAAGAGCTACCTTCCAGTCTTTCCAAGAAGGTTTGTCGTCATTTCAGTGTTTTCGATATTTCCTATAACACATAAAAATGTCTGTAAGAATTTGTTGCCCATAGCAATCCAAAAAATAGTTTGTATTCATTATAACTGAGCGCTTGCCAGCAAACAACATAGAAGATGTTCTCAGTGTAGTTTGCTACATCATGCTTATAAGACCTCTTTCTTCTAGGCGGCAACAAATTTAAATAAATAAAATGAATGAGTAATTAGTGTTTTATTTGTTTTCAGGAAAAATGTCTTACAACTAAATAAATTTACTTGAGAAGCAACACTGCATAAAATAGTAAGGTTGTCATAGTGTGATGAATTTTGTCTAACTGCACTTGGAGATTTTTTTCACATGCTTATAATTTTAACTTTATAAGTGCAATATGGTCTGGATCTCGTCTCTGCTCTCAGGGGAACTCTATAACACCCACTTTACTTTGAGCAGTCACTATAACTCACACTGCTACAATGGTTGGAAAAGTAGTATGTGGGAAAATGCCTCATCAGCCATTTTCCATTCATGAGATAATCAGCTAGACCACTGCAAGAGTCATTTCCCTTTCAATGACATAAGGAAATTGTAGCCATTTGCTGCGTAAAGTGGTCTGGGAACAATGTCAAAGTTGAAACCAAATTCAAGCCACTCCAAAAAAAATCCAAGAGCTACCTTCCAGTCTTTCCAAGAAGGTTTGTCGTCATTTCAGTGTTTTCGATATTTCCTATAACACATAAAAATGTCTGTAAGAATTTGTTGCCCATAGCAATCCAAAAAATTGTTTGTATTCATTATAACTGAGCGCTTGCCAGCAAACAACATAGAAGATGTTCTCAGTGTAGTTTGCTACATCATGCTTATAAGAGCTCTTTCTTCTAGGCGGCAACAAATTTAAATAAATAAAATTAATGAGTAATTAGTGTTTTATTTGTTTTCAGGAAAAATGTCTTACAACTAAATAAATTTACTTGAGAAGCAACACTGCATAAAATAGTAAGGTTGTCATAGTGTGATGAATTTTGTCTAACTGCACTTGGAGATTTTTTTCACATGCTTATCATTTTAACTTTATAAGTGCAATATGTGAAAAATCTGCCAGTGCAGCAAGACAAAATAAAATACATTCTTCTCTGAAAGCAAGAAAACAAGTGGAAAATAAATCAGTATTTTATGCAATGTTTTTTTTTCATCTTGTTGAAAGGATTTTTAGACATTTTAACTGGACAAAAATACCCATTAATAATAGGATTTGTGCAGTGCATTTGGTCAAATTAATTACTCACTAAATTACATAAAAGTAATAGCAAGGTGTTTTTTTATTTTTATTGCCACACCACCAAGTTTACTTACAATGGTAAGCTGAATAAAACAAATACAACAAAATGAATACAATTAAACTATAAATGTTTTTTGTGGTATTAGAGATTATTGCTCGTAATAAAGATTATTCTGTAATGATGTGTCTGTGATTTTTGTTTTAGGGACACCCAGGGGCCCCGGGAGAGAGGGGCTCATCTGGACCAGCAGGTACACCAGTAAGTCAATGTTATGTATTATATATATATATATATATATAAATATATAAATATATGTATGTGTGTGTAAACTGAATTTATTTATGCCTGGCCAAGAGTCTCTGCACAAAGTAAAATCTGAACAGATCACAGCTCTGTTTTGTGTTAGTTTTCTGTTGTAATATCCACATTTCGTGCAATCGTCTGGTCTGAAACCTTCTTGGTAAATCCAGAGTACAGAAGCATCATAAAAAGCCAAGTCTGTCTCATTTTATTCAGTAATCAAATTAACATTTTGCCAGTTTACATTCTCTCATTAGAGCTGTCTATGTACATTGATGACACTCAGACACTAGCGTAATTAGCATCCTACTGAATGAAACTCCATGCATTTCTTTGCTCTGTTCACACAAATGTTGGCGTAATGCAAGCGTTTGGCAGGAAATACCTTTTGGAGGCACTCAGATGACCCTGTGAGGAGGGCAAAAAGTGCAGCGGAGTACAATCATAAACAGCAGCCTTTGAAGGACAGAGCTTTCACCCTGTATTTGTAATCGGATCAAGTGATGTTTGTTTGCCTGCCAGAGACTCTTTGCCGGCTCTAACTGAATTTCTGAGGGAATGATCTCCTGCTGCCTGATTCAGGACTCTGTTCTGTGTTTCCAGGGGCCTCCTGGGTCTAGGGGCCTCAGCGGCACCAGAGGACCCAAAGGCAGAATGGTAAGAACTGATCACTTTGACTATCAGTCATTACATGTGCTTTATAAAAACAAAATGTTCAAGAATTAAAAGTAAGACGTCATTTTATAAGTAAAACACTATAACTTCATGAGCAGAAGTCTTAATTTCACAACTCTATCCATTAACATATTTTTATAACCTCTCTAGATGATTATCACTGTATACTCAAGATTTGTTTTTCAATGGAAGTGATTCAAGTTCACATAGGCCTGTAATGAGTTTTGCATTGGCATATAGTTCTGTTGTCTTTGGATAGTTTTGCATCCTGATGCAGTGGTTACTGGAAGCTATACTGGGCTATATTTCCTTTATATTTACAGTCAATGACAGTATCATGGCAGAAGAGCTTGACAGATGGTATCGTCACATCAACTCTGATTACATTACCATTAAAAACTAATTAAAATTATAAAATTACAAATCAATTTTACGTTCAAATTTCCTGTATTTTACTTTTATCCCCACAACTTTGAGTAATGATAATGTCTACAAAGCTCAATGATAATACATCAGGAAAAATTGTACTTTACATTAATTATGTTTTTTAAAAAACTATAAATAAATAATAAGTCCAGCTGCAAAACTATAACGATGAAGGATCCACAGGGATCTACTCCAAATCAAAGCAAGCCACGGGAGTTGAGGGCAAACAGAGGACAGAATCCCATGAGCTGTGGACAAGTGGCAGTGCTCATGAGCAGGATGGACAATTTTGGATTTGCAATTATAGCGAAAGCCAATTTTTAGCTGTTTGGATGTGTGTCATAGTTTATGGGTGTTATTGGTAATGGGAACATTTGGGGGTTGCCAAAGAGTTCAGGAAAGTCCCTAGCTTGGGAATTGGATTATGTCAGTGATGTCAGATTTATGACAATTCTCAGCAGACAAGAACACTCGAAAAACTCTTCAAGTCAATATGAATACCATTTGCACCAATTTTACTTCTGTAATGTGACATTTCAAAGTGAAGCACAATATCCAATGGGAAAAAATGTAGGATTGGTTGATTTTATCCTTCAAGAATTGATTGAATTGTGAAAAGTGGCCATACCTAATTGGCTTTAGGTTAACCTTATCCAATAGCTTGCACAGCCTACATGAAAAGAGGACTTTGTTATTATTATATTTTAGTTCTTTCTTTCTATTTCTTTGTAATAACCTGCATTGATAACTTGTTCACAGCAAGACCAGGAACATGCATTAGGAAAGTTAATAGGGTCCACTGTGATTTCATGTGGACTTTTGCATTGAAGCTTCACCCTTAATGAATTTCACACAAGTTCAAATTGTATGTTTTAATACACTCTAATAGCTTGCTAGATTCCCATCAGAAATTTCAGCACTCATAACTGTCCGTTTTCACATCACAAAAACACATTTCATAAACTAAATTCACCATTACAGATGAAACATTAATCCTTCAACAAACAAAAGATGAACAACAGTTGGGACTGAATTACCACTGATGGAGAACGTGGAGGTCTGGGATTTGAGACTCATCATTTTCTAAATGCTCAGTGCTTTTAGTTCCCATAGACATATCCATTTATCTCACTACTCTTTAGAGGCCAATTACTTGTGTAGTTTATTGAGGAATATAAAGTCTTCTCACCTCTCAGACAAATTAAAAACAGCTGATATTGATGATAAAGTTAAAAGTTCACTGGACGTGCTGTGAGATCAACTCAAAATCTTAAATCTTATGATGCATTCAAGTCCTCCTAGAAAGTTTGTATTTGTGGGTTGGGAAGTTGTAATTGACCCTTAGCCAGGAGTTTGATTGACAGGCGATCTGACCAATCATAACGCAGAATCTGCCATTTTGTCTGACAAACAACCCAGACAGGAGAGTAAAACAAAATGGTATTTATTGTTTGAATTTCTTGTAAAATTACAAAATTTGAGAGCTGAGATCTGTTTCATACCAAAAGTAACCTGCTCTGTCTTGTCTGTCGGCATGTTGTCAGTGTCCTCTTTGCTCTGCAATGTATTTTTCCACTGCGTGAGAATATGATGTGTGGTGTGAGAGCACCACACATGGCTTATGAAAGAATGCATATCAGGTGTGTTTTTGCTTTATGTTTTTATTGTCGTATTCTGAATGTGCAACTTAGTTTCATTGTAAATGCAGCTAGTTTTATCGTAAATAAAAATGGTTGAGCATCCCGATTAGCTCAACACAGCAACATTGACTACCAATAATGTGATTTTTAGTGATTTCAGCTTTCTAACCAATGGTAGACTAGAGAATGTTCAGGAAACCAGACATAATTTTTACAGTTCAATTTGGTGATGCTAGTGGGACAAAAATACTCTCTTTACCATTTTTTTAAAAAACTTATTAAGTTTTACAGAAACAGAACAGTAACAGATGGAAATTTTTTGTGGTACATAGAATGCTACTCAAATTCAACTGAAGTTTTGTTGAAAATCTTCAGACCGTTGTCATTGAAGCAAGATGTTATTCATAATTAGGATTCAGAAAGATCCCTTAAGGAGGTTTTATTTTTACCCCCCTTTTATGATTTGAAGTTTCTGTCCAGGCCTGATTCCAATCAGTTCAAATGTTGTCATTAGCCCCTGAAAGGTCAAAGGTTTCCTGAATGACATCAGATCACGAGAACAGAGGCAGCAGTGTTGCACTGGCCCTCAAAAGAGAGTGCTGTCAGAGGAGCACCATATGTCTGTTCTTCAGCATGAGCCACAGTGGTTGCAGCCATCATATTATCCCCATTGATCACTGTTTCCACCTTCCAGACAAAGAAATCCCTCAAAGTCAGAGATCACCCAGCTGTGGCTTTACATCATCACAATGGAAATATAATGGTCACTTTCCATTTTACTGTAGCTGAACTTGCATGATGTGAAAGGCTAATGTTTCACAGAGCTCTTTAAAGCTGCATTCATTCAGGTTTTTCCCCTGGTGAGCTGGAGATTTGGCTCGTTCAAGACCAGAACTCATACAGATTACTTTGAACGAGTTGTCTATATGTCATCTGGGTTTGTCAACCTTTGACTAAATGCCATACTGTATATCTGCTAGCTACACTAGGTGACATTGATAACTTGTTCTTTTGACCCAGTCTATCACAGCTGATAACTCAGAATGTCTTTATTTGTACAAGTGTGCCCTCTGCTGGTCAGTTAATAGTTTTTTTTTACACCCGTATGTGTCTTCTCCTCAATGCCAGTCCGAAATCTCTATATTTTACACAGGGTGCGAGGGGGCCAGATGGACCAGTCGGAGAGAAAGGAGTGATGGGAATGAAGGTGAAATGTTCAGCAATGATTTTTGTGGAGCTAAGTTACTGCATAATATCTTACTTAGATGATACTGATTAGAACATATTCTTAAACTATAATTATTAATAGTCACCTTTTTGGACCAAAGACATGGAGGTGCACATTTCAAAAACTGACTCACTCATAAACCTGTAGTTTTATTTTATTACATTACTGTTTCCTTGTTTTCACAATTTTTCATAAGCACAATTAGAGCTGTATGTGACTAATTTGATATTGACTTTTACTGGCAGCTTACTATCGTTATCTTGAAACATTTAGCTTAGTAATTGTTTGTCATTTTATTCTCATGAGATGTCAATAACTTCAAAAAGTATATCTGGCTGTGCGTGATAGTGAATGGTGCATGTTGAAAGCAGCATTGTAGTGCTATGCTATGATTCAAGATGAAGTACTTGACTCCTCCATGCTGGCATGCACTGCTTTTTCCCTACCACAGAACAAAACAACATATGAAACGCATCTAAATTGTCAGCACAACATTTTTATCAACCTTACAATGCTGGAAACAAGGATGCATTGAAGTTTTGTCCCAAAATGTTTCCAAAATGCTTGGTTTTGGTTTTAATCAAACAGAATGAAGAATAATTTGATTTGGTTGTTGCAATGGAAAATAGTTAGTGACTGTTTTGGGTTCTGTCCCCTTTCTGCAGGGTCCTGAAGGTCCCCCGGGAAAACAAGGTTTCAATGGACTAATGGTAAAATTACAGACTTTATTTGTTTTATATATCTGAAGTTCTGACACTGTCAGAAAAAAAAGTGCAACAGCTGTACCTTTAGGTACAAATGTGTTCCTTTGCTGTTGTGCCCCTAAAGGTACAGTTTTTGAAAAAAAAAAATCTGAGAGTGAAATGTCTTCTGATGTGTACTTGAAACAGTCAATTTGATATCACTGTAGGCTGGACAAAGTTGAGGAGTTTGAGGTCAGCTGATGCTCAGGTCTTCAGAAAGTGCTAAGAATGTATGCCTTATATTGGCATTTCACTCATCATGTTAAGATGCGTTGTCTTCTGATTCAGTACTTATATATGATTAACGTACTGAACTGATCATGAAAGATCAACAAAACATTTCACAGACAATGTATTTTAGCTGACAGTTATCTTATAGGATAGATGGTCATTTAGATAACAGGCAGTTAAGTGTGTTTCTTCTGTAGCACTGAGATTATCTCTTGTATAATAGGGTCAAATTGGTGAAACTGGTGAAACAGGACCTACTGGATTTCCAGTGAGTAATTGATCATTTGACAAACATTTTCAACAGTTAAATGTCCACAAAAACTGGTTTGGAAAAATATATGTCCATTTTTTAGGGTGTTCAAGGACCAACTGGACCTCCTGGAGCAAAGGGCATCTTAGGAGAACCTGTAAGTACATCATTCATATATATATATATATAATGAATGAGGACATGGACTGTCAAGCTCCAAAACAACAAAAATGCACTATAAAATCTTCATAAAGCAGTCCTTCTATTTCAAGTCTTTTGAAACAGACTGCCTTTAAGCCTTTAAACACTATGTTCCCCTCCGCTGTTCAGATCAATTTAAAAATAGTGCCTTTACATGTGACATATGTCATTGTGATGTGACGACTAATGGCAGCATTTATTCTTGAGTAAAACTCTAAAATTGTATCCATCTGGAATTGAGTGATTTGTGATAAGTTACTGTTCTGGACCAGAATAGCTATTTGGCTATGGGTTAATTTTATTCAATGGTCCAGAAAGTCATCTCAGAAGTGTAACAAGTAGGTTGATGAAAGAAACAGTTTTGGTGCCTATTGGCTTCCATTGTTTGGACAAAAACACTCAGACGTTTCTCAGAATATCTTCTTTTGTTTTTTGTATTTCTTTCAGAAGACAGACTGTCATAATTAAACAAAACTATAAAATCATATCAAACTTTGCTTGAACACTACAGAAACGATGTGCCAACCCACATGGCAATGCAAAAAAATCAGGTTAACATACACTATTGTCCAAAAGTTTGCGGGGTCAGTAACATTTTTCAACATGTTTTTTAAAGATCACCAAGGCTGCAATTATTAGATCAAAATACAGTAAAAACCATAATATTGTGAAATATTATAACTCTATGTTCATATATTTTAAAATGTAATTCATTCCTGTTATGACTCCAGTCTTCAGTGTCACATGATCCTTGAAATTAATCATTTTAATATGCTGATTTGGTACTCAATAAACATTATTACACTGCTTACTCAAGTGTGGAAACCACAACAAAGTGTTCTTTTCTGCAGGTTTCTTTGATGAACAAAAAGAACAGCATTTATTTGAAATAGAATGTTTTGTAACATTATTGCCATTTTGATCAGTTTAATGCTAAATCTTACTGACCCCAATTTTTTGAACAGTAGTGTTCAGATTTCTATCGTTTCAGTAGCTGACATCACAGTCAGTGAACATTTTTTCTGTTTCTTAATAGGGTCCTCAAGGGCCACCAGGAGTATTAGGTCCTTTGGGTGAGATTGGAGCAGTGGTAAGACTCTTGACATAATCGTCAGATATGTGTTGATATGTTTCATATTGTGCTTCCAGCATTATTAGATCAGTTCTCTATATTTCCAGCACTTTAATTATTATTTCCTATTGTACCCCTCTGCCCTACTCTCCTAACTGGTTTTTAAAGAAACAATTATCATTGTGCCCTAATTTAGCCAATGCCAGATTAGTTGTGGTTCCTTTATACAATTACAATGTCCTCAGGTGGCACTAGAAAACACTTAGATTGACTTTGTTAATTAAAATACTTTTAACGAATGAAACCGAAATAAGAAACAGATTTTGTCCCACATTGTCCCTTTGTTTCTAATTACCTATCCATTATTCACACATGTTTTCTTAGCTGTGAGGGACTAAAGACTAGTAAGATTCAGAAAGCTAAGCACTCCACGTTCATTAGTTTCCTGGTTTGTGTGACAGGGTTTACCTGGGAAGGTTGGGGAGCGGGGCTTACCAGGTGAACCAGGAGAGAAGGTAAAACATCTGCTGTGTTTTCTTATACTGTATACATGGTACTGAATGCTGATTAGTGTGGTGTAGCGGCTGTGAAACCATGTCATGTTCAACATTTGCCATAGTGAGATCATATGCAGATGTTTTATACAAAGCACATTTGGATATAAATAATTGTCCTATTTAAGAAATTAATTATGCTGAAATTTGAGTTTGAATTTTTTCCCTCACTTTTTAGGGTGCATTTGGATCTCCTGGGAATATGGGAGAGCAAGGCTTGATTGGACCTCGAGTAGGTTCATTTTGTTAGCTGTAACCGACTTTATTCAGGAGAGATGCCATTACTGTTAGTTCAGTGGGTTTTGCTGTTGTATACCTCAGTGACAACTGTTCAGTCACTGAGCCACTGAAAATAAGTATTTCCAAAATATGTACAATGAATACAATGGAAAGTTCCATAACAAATAAAAAATTTTAAGTATTTTTTTTTTAAATCTGTATTGATAATATACTATTAATAATTTTACTTAAAATTAGTGTAATAATGTCAAGTTAACTTAAAGTTTTACATTTAAGTAGTGTTTTAATAATCTTATTGTGCTAAAGATGTACACCTATTTTGATGTGTTGACATTAAAGCACATGTAAAGTACTTGATTATAACTGTAGTGTTATGCAATATTACATTTCAAGTTCATATATTTTAAAAGCACTAAATTACAACTTTATTACAAATGTATAATTACAAATGTATTTAAAGATTGCTGTGTGTACATTAATGAGGAAAAAAAATTAACTTAAATGATTTTAGCAAATGGCTGCAATATAACAAAGAGTGAAAAATTTAAGGGGGTCTGAATACTTTCCGTACCCACTGTAAGTCCTAATTCAGTGGGTCAAAAAAGCACTCAAAAGTTCAGTTAACTGCTTTTAATTGAAATTTAAACTATAATACATTTTTATTTCATTGTAATTAAGTGTGCGAAAACATTGCATTCAGTACACACTTAACTATGTTTAAAATGTATTATTCCCATAACAAGGTCTCTTTTTAAAAATTGCTGAAGTGTACTTTTTTTCACAAGGGATGGTTTATTAGATGCAACCTAGAAACTCGACATGTTTGTCTCTCACAGCTTTGTTTTCATTTGTGTCAAGCTAAATATGGCATCTACCCTGATTAAAGTCTATATTTGTGTCTTTTTAAAATAGTGAATTTTTTTAAATGAAGTTCTCATTTAGGGTGACCCTGGGCTTGATGGGGAGGTTGGTCTGAGCGGCCCAGATGGAGCTAAGGTCAGAAAAATGCCAAATCTTTTTTTTATTTTGTGCATGATCATCACTTTATTTAAAAAATGTTAGTAGACATTATATTTAGTTCATTGCTTGTATTAAATTAAGTTTCAATAGGTGTTGTTGTCTCTAGGGTGAAAAGGGTGACATTGGAATGGAAGGAGAAACAGGCGAAAAGGGAGCCATTGGATTTAAAGGAACAGAAGGCCGTCCCGGAGATCCTGGCTTAATGGGTGTCATGGTGTGTGTGGTCTTTTTATGTTTCGAAATAACATATCATTTTGTCAAGGTTTTCAGGTGTATCACACACAGTGCTATTGTTTTTGCATTTTTATCAGTGAAAAATAGATTGGGATATTTTGCTCACTGTTCATTTCTGAAAATCAAGCAAATATAGGCCTGCTGGGAAAAAAAAGTTTACAACTAAATTAGTTTGTTTCCGCTAGTCAAACTGGTTTGGTTTGCTGGTTTTTAAGTTTTGGGCACTTGTAGCAAGTTTTAGATAAATTTTGATCACCTTAGACTGGTTTCAGCAGTTTCTCAGCAGGATTGGTGTAAATTGGTTCACTCTAGAGTACTTTATTGCTGGAGCACATGCTTTAAGGCCTTATTGAAGACTGGGTGATGTTGGATGCAAAGACAAACTACACCTCCTTGTTGCAGTTCTGAATAATTAAACTCATAAGTCAGTACTGAATGTGTTCATTCAGAGATGTCTCTCTATTGATTTTTGCAGCGTGTCAACTCTATATTGTAATTTCAGGGCCCTGAGGGCAAACCTGGAAAAACTGGTGAGAGGGGAAAACCTGGAGAGAAGGTATTTTAGCTTTGACATTTTAGTTTCCATGGTTAGCAGTCATTATTCTCAGTACTTATCATTAGATGTGTGTGTGTGTGTGTGTGTGTGTGTGTGTGTGTGTGTGTGTGTGTGTGTGTGTGTGTGTGTTTCCATATGTAGAGTATAAATAATGCTTAAAATTCATTTCAGGGCAGCAAAGGTCACCAGGGTCACCTTGGCGAGACTGGACCAGTGGGAGAACAAGGTGCCATGGGTTTCATTGGGCCAAAAAGAAGCAGAGGAACTACTGGGTTTATGGTGAAAAACTTATTTTTGAATGTTCACTGTCAGTGTTTTGTGAACCAAAATGACATACATTAAGGTTACAAAGGTCTAATTGATTACAAGGATCTAATGATGTCACTGTAATAATTACAAATGCTTTTCTCTTAAAATAGTCTTTCCTTTGCCAGAGATTTATTTTTTTATTTTAACCATTGTGCATTACATCATTGACAGAACACAGAAAATGCTGATACTTATGTTATTATACACCAAAGAAAATATTGTAGAGAGACCCTTTTTAATTTAAATATATATATTTTTTGATTAATTGTGTTTTGTTTTGGCGAGAATGCAGTTTCTGATTATGCTATCTGAAACTAACTCTGATCCCATGGCTATCATTTTCAGGGTGCTCCGGGAAAAATGGGTCGACAAGGAGAAACAGGTTTAGTGGGATATGAAGTAAGCGTTATTTAACATAGACATGCCTTAAAAGACTTTATTTTACCTCAGCATAAAGTGGTACAAATTCAAAACAGCTGCTCTACATTATATGAAGTTCTTTAGTTAATAAGGCTTGTTAGAGCTAGTTGACTTGTCTTTGATTAGAGCTAGTTGACTTGTCTTTGATTAGAGCTAGTTGACTTGTCTTTGAATGCTCAAATGGTTCCATACTCCACTTTTTCTTCTTTTATTACCTCATTTACTGTAGGGTCATCAAGGACCACAAGGTCCAATGGGATCCCCAGGACCAAAAGGTGAAATGGTAAAACATTTTATTGCCTTATAACTACAATCTCATTTCAGAAGCCCAAGAAATTTAACAAAGGAGTGTTCTTTGTATTTGCATAATAAAAAACAAATAGTCTTTTTCCCAAAATCCAAATTTTATGTTGGAGGTTAACTTGCTTTTATTCCATGGTCTGTCTGAATACTCGATTCTGATTGGCTGGCAGGTATGCATTAAAACCGTTTAATGCACACGGGTAGTTCCAAGTCTGTTTAATCACCGTTCTATATTAATTGATGCACACACACACACATAAACACAGTGAGAGGGAGAGAGGTCGGAGATTGCAGATCGCGCTGCGCACACACAGAAGCTTTTTGTCGCGGGACTTTTATAAATAAAAAGTCTTCTTCCTCTTAATACTTCCTCAGCATCAAAGTAACTAAACAGCTTCATTGTTCGAGAGAGACACACAGACACAGGTAATTCACACACACAACTGTCATCTCTCTCTCGATCGATAATTCATTCAAATAAATGTGGTCTTACCGCACTATTTTATCTCTGTGTCTGATTTGAACTGTCATAACTGACAAAAATAACCTTCATTTTTACCCTTCCGGTTAAATATTGCGCTGCTAACATCATAAACAGCATAACATCATAAACCAATGTTGACAAATGACCATGGAATAAGCAAGATAATCAATGGCTCGCCGTGCGTTAAAGGATTTTAAATGCACGGTGAGCCGTTGATTATCCCTTACGTATATCACCTTCCATGTTCTCATAAACTCAAAAACCCTTAGCATATACATAGCACATGGTAAAATTTATATCAGACATTTTAAGTTGAAAAATCTAGAAATCAATACTGAAATCAATTTCTGTATTTTTCAGGGAGAGCCAGGTGATGACGGGAAGGTTGAAGGTCCCCCTGGTCCTTTAGGTGACATCGTGAGTCAGTCCGCTAGATTTACTACACATTTTTGCCTTGTTTTGGGAGAATTCTGGATGCCAACCTGATCAATGTATTGGGTTTTCTCTGGGATTTAGGGACCTGTTGGCAACAGAGGAGAAAGGGGACAGCCAGGTGACCCTGGATACCCAGTGAGTTTAAGATTTGCTTTTTATTTTCTAAATTTTCGACAGGTCCAAACTAGATCATTAATTAAATATACTTTATATGTCAAATTTTGAATTTCAATTTGTAAATCATAAGGGTCATGAAGGTGTTTATGGGGAAAGAGGAAACCCGGGGGCTCCTGGACTCCCTGTGAGTGAATCGACAAATAATGACATCTTTAAACCAGTGTTATTTTAGTATCGTTAATATACTGTTATAGTTTTGTTAATATTTTGTATTAAATTTTATTCTTATATTAAATTTTTTTAATTTTATTTCCTTTTTTAACTATTTTGTTGTGTATTTGTATCATGTTTATTAGTTTTTAAATATGTCTATTTTAGTTTTACTTTATTTTCTTAGAAGTAACCAAAATGTTTCTTATGGTTTTAGTTTTAATGAATGATAATAACCCCGCTTGAAACTGAGCTATAAAATAGATATTTTCTTCATTTTGTTCATCTCATTTTCCCTGTCTGTAACAACAGGGAAATGCAGGTCCAAAAGGTTTTGCAGGGCCTAAAGGATCCAAAGGCAATAAAGTAAGACTTTTCCATGTGAACATAAACATATTGTGGATTTTGTTTTGTTTAAATACAAATGCACACATATGGCTTTTATTTTAAAACCTATAATACCCATCACAACCGAATAACAATTTTTTTAGGGTCCAAAAGGCAAAAACGGTCCACATGGTGAATCTGGAAGTCGAGGGTCCCCTGTAAGTAAGTTTCTTATACGCTGAACTGAGTTCAGTGACATCATGACAGAACCTACAACTGATATTTTAAACAGTTGTGGTCATCTCACAGGGTACTGTTGGTCTTCCTGGCCCCAGAGGAGTTGTTGGTCGTGAGGGTCTTGAGGGTGATCCTGGGGTAGAAGGAGCTCTTGGGAAAGACGGAGCTAAAGGAATCCCAGTAAGACAATGAATGTAATTCTCAATGTTCTCAGTGTAACAATTTTAATTACCTAGGTGCTTTTTGTTGTTTGTGATGTTTTGGTTTGTTTGTCCTCTGTTATTAGGGTGAGCATGGAAGTGATGGTGAGGTTGGTCTGCCTGGAAAATCAGGTCCTCAAGGAAACGCAGGTGTGCCAGGACTGCCAGGAATTCAAGGCACTTTTGGGCCAAAGGTTATATGGATAGTGACCGGTTCTTTATGTTTGTTTGTCATCATTATCTGCATCTATAGCAATATTAGCTGGTTATATCTTAAATATTTCTCTATGTTCTGACTTAGGGTGAAAGGGGCATCCCTGGCCAAACTGGACCTCCAGGAAAAAGAGGATTTAATGGAGGAATGGGATTTCCTGGAAAACACGGAGACAGAGGGGTCAAAGGGCAACCTGTAAGTATTGCTACTCTGTTATTACAATGGATCCCTTGCAACTATGACAAACACACAAATGAATGCTGCTCCAATGATCTCGGTTTGCTTAAATGATCAACCTCTAAGAATAAAACAAAGAACATAATTGCCAAAATCAGACAGTAACTTCTTACACAGCTCTCTATAATACTTTATTTTGAGTTTCAATGTCACTTGGTTCCTCCAAAATCATTATAATATGCTGATTTGGTGCTGAAGTAATGTTTCTTATTATTATCAATGTTGAAAACGTAATACTTTTGTGGAAACCAAGATTATAAATGCATTATAAATGTCACATTTGATCAATTTATTGCATCTTTACTGAATAAAAGTATTAATTTGGCCCTAAACTTTCTAAATGGTAGTGTATTTGCATGTTTTCGGTCTATTTAATGGTTGATGAATGAATGACAGTGACATTTCTTTAACACTTAGTGAAAAAATCACCCATTCAGTCAGTCACGTTCTACGTTACGTCAGTGACTGATGAATTGGGATCTCGCCCGAGAGCCCAATCACCTTCGAGTGTTAACTAAACAAGCCAATGACAGTTGGCGTGCGTGTTTCGCCACGCGCACCCCGCCCCGCAGCGCGGGTATAAAAGGAGAGCGCGTGCAAACGCACATCAGCTTTTCGCTTCGGAGCCGAGCCTTCTACAGGACGAATCTCCGCGAGTGTTCGAGAAACAGCTGGCGTTGGTGTGACGGCGTATCAGCGGGGGTTGCCATCCAGGCTGCTGAAACCTCGGCGGGCTGCAGCTTCCATTCTGCGGTCTCGCCGCGACCTCCCCTGGGCGCTTCAGCGCTTTCACTAAAAGAGTGTTTTTTTCCTTCTAAAAGAGCAAATTCTAAAAGAGCTTCACGAGCGCTGTGTAGTGATCTCACCCCAGGCGGGTTGAGGCTACCGCAGCGACTTCCATATGTAGTACTGCCCTGGGCCAGTCCATATGTGTAATTCCACATGTTACCTCCTATGTGCGGGATGTGGCTTCCGTAGCGTCCCAACTGGGTACGCTTTCCCAGTGTTATCCAATGTACCACTGTAGGGAACAGCAGTGCGGACACCTCTGCCTAGCCGCTGTCCTGTCTTCCGCCCCAGCTGGTGTGGGGGGGCTTGCCGGCTTCCGCAGGGCACTGGAGGGGGTCAGCAATAGTGGCGTTTTCCATACGGATCCCAATTCGTCAGTCACTGACGTAACGTTGAACGTGACTGACTGAATGGGAACGTCTAGGTTACTTGTGTAACCCTCGTTCCCTGAAGGAGGGAACGGAGACGTTACGTTCCGTCGCCACAGTTGCTGTACCACCGCTGTACGGCCGGGGCACGTAGTCTCGGCTTCTCAGCGAAAAACTGATGTGCGCTTGCACGCGCTCTCCTTTTATACCCGCGTTGCGGGGCGGGGTGCGCGTGGCGAAACACGCACGCCAACTGTCATTGGCTTGTTTAGTTAACACTCAAAGGTGATTGGGCTCTCGGGCGAGATCCCAATTCGTCAGTCACTGACGTAACGTCTCCGTTCCCTCCTTCAGGGAACGAGGGTTACACAAGTAACCTAGACGTTATCTGTTTATATTTTTCATCTATTTATCATCTGTTAATATTTTTCTTTAGGGTGATACTGGTGAACAGGGATTTCCTGGAGTTCTTGGAATGTTTGGACCAAAGGTAAACTTTCTTCTTGCACCACCGTTAGCATAAAGTCAACCTGTTATGTTTTGATTCTCAAAATTCACCCTGTTTTCTTTAATATATGTGAATGATTAATCTAAATGTTTCAAATAAAAAAAAGTTTGGCTTCACAATCTTTCTTCAAAATCTAATATTTCCTCCATGTCCTTTTTTTAAACTGATCTTATCAAGCCCATTTTTAAACTGCCGTATAAAGACCCTACCTATATTTGTTCTAGATGGATATCCTGTTTCACGTGTTAATGTCGCATTACAGAAGAAAAATTATGTCTTGTATATTCTGAGGATTTTCACATGATCTACTGTTTTGCCAAAATTATCATACTGATAGTTGCAATGATTACACCACAGGTCTATGTTCGTAAACCTGTTAGGTGTTTAATAACATTTAATTATGCTTACATAAAATATACAGGTGCATCTCAATAAATTAGAATGTCGTGGAAAAGTTCATTTATTTCAGTAATTCAACTCAAATTGTGAAACTCGTGTATTAAATAAATTCAATGCACACAGACCGAAGTAGTTTAAGTCTTTGGTTCTTTTAATTGTGATGATTTTGACAGTGACAGAGTTGGGAATAACGCATTACACAGTAACGCGTTACTGTAATCGAATTACTTTTTCTGGTAAAGCAGTAATGTAACGCATTACGTTTTAAATTTGTGTAATTTGATTACAGTTACTAAAGTCAATATAATTACATTACTTACGCTACAAATGTAGTGTTAAAAAATATTTATGTGCCTTTTAAAATCATGTTTTGCGTGGGGTCGATGGAGGCACCGGCGCGATCACTTGCATTTTTTCCTGAGAACAGTGAAAAGCCATTTTGATCGTACATATAAGTGTAATACATCCTTTGAATCTATGAAGGGTCTACTTTTATTTGTGTACACTCACAATATCAACAAAACATTGTGCTTTTGTAAAATAAAGAAAACAAACGGTGCGTTTTCAGCTGTCTCAGTCTCCGCGAACTTCTTTCTGAAAAGCGTCATTAATATGAACCGAAACTCAGCGAATACTTCACACACAGACATGAAAAACATATATATGGAAAGCTTGAAGTGCCTACTTTTAAATGAAGTCTTATCTAAAACAAATATTCTCTGAAGTAATCCGTATAAAACCAACACGAGGTCCAGTCTTTCCCGTCTGAGCTCATTATCTGTAATGTGATCACTCTCACGCGCAGCGCGCGCTATTCATACGGTAATCATCCACGTGAGACACGCGAATCTGTAAACGCCCACATCACCTCCGTAAACAAAGAAGCAAGATTTATTTTTAGCATTCAAATATGCACTGTATTTTCATTAATACTGTTTTCAAATGTTATCAGAACCGTTTTCAATTTATTATGTTTTTTTCTGTCTTTAATGCTCACATTTAAACACAGTTAAGCCAGCATACACATATACCCTACACTCAGCAAACAATGTTGTATGTAAAACAATGTATAGGCACATTTAAAGATACATTTTTCATTGTTAGGCAGGTTTATGCTAAGAATGTTAAGTTTTAGAAATGGATTAAATCTTTAAGTCTTTAAGTTGCTGTTTTCATACCTTTGTAATATTTTTCAGTCAATATTAAATTACTGAAAGAACTACAATTTTCACTTTGAACTGTATTATTTTTTTTTTTAGATTTGATATGTTTTCAAATGTTTTCAGCTGGCATTTCATTACAGCTGTACAAGCACTGTAGCTTAAGATGAAAAATAGCTTCTTTAAGCAGCTTTAAGAGAGCTAGTCAAACAATATAATCAAACAAAGGCTGTGTGATGTAATGGTTTTCTAAATTTAGATTTTATGACCAAACAATGTTTCTGTCATTCACAGGGGCCACCCGGAGACCTTGGCCCAGTGGGTATCCAGGGCCCAAAGGGTCCTCAGGGTTTAATGGTATGTACCACTGTGAACTGTCCTGAACTGTCCTGAAAACACAAATGAGATGGATCAGCAACTACTGTAGGTGTTTCTTTTTTTTAAGGGAATGCAAGGAGTCATCGGACCTGTTGGTATCATTGGGCCTAGTGGTAACGCAGTATGTATGATCTGAGTCACGTTGTTGGTGGTTTCTAATTGGGTGCATACTCTGAAAAACTTCCTTCTCTTCCTCTCTTTTTATTAGGGACCACAAGGAGACAAAGGACATAAAGGAGAAATGGTAAAAATCAGTTTGAAATACTGAATTCTAATATTGTATGGCTCTTATGTTAGACTTCCATCAGCATAGGCTCAACTTCCTGTTTATCATCTCCATTCAGTGATGTTACTGTGATGGGGGTCTAATGGTTTGTCTCAGTCCACTCAGTAGTAAGTGCACTTCCCAGGGAGTCAACTATTACTGTCAAATTTGAAAAAGTGCATTCATTCAGTCTCTTCAAGTTCCCAGAATGCACTGGGAATCTTGTAACCATGATGGAGGTAATTGAATCATTCATGTTCATGATGTACTGATTTACATCATAGGGAACTAAAGAGTGGAATGAGACTCAGCCTAAGACACTTTTAAGATACAATCAGATAAGCAGCAAGAACAAATTTGGTTGAAAAGGGTTCCCTGATGAAAATAAAATTTTTGTTGTTTGTCCTTTTATTTTAAACAGGGTGCTCAGGTATGTTCCCCAATGTCCTTCAATGTTACTAGCCCTTTTACATTTATATAAATAAAGTGGTACTATTTAACCAACATAAAAATGTTCTTTTGACCCTCAATTAGGGACCTCCAGGTAGTCGTGGACCACCTGGACCTCCAGTAAGTAGTCTTGATGCATTTTAACAATCATGTGAATAGTATGTGTCATGGTTGGATTGCATTTAGCTGAAGCTCATTGTAATCAATGCTTTCTTTTTCTTTATTGCTCAATGGTTTATAGGGGCTTCCTGGTGTTTCTTTTTCTCATGTAAGTATGCTTTGTACATCTCTGTTGATAGAAATTTAAGTCCATGAAGTCTAAAAATTATTGACGGAGCTAGAACATGTCAAAGCTCCAGATGCTGTGATGTAAATATACTCTACTTTAAAGAAAATTAAAAAAAAGAATTAAAGCACACTTCAAAAAAAAAAAAAAGAAGCCTATATTCAACTGGTTATTTCATTATATAAAACATATTTTAAAAAGAGAGTACAAATGGTGCCTTCCTCAGGTTGCAACCTACAAACACAAAAACAGGCCTGTCCCAATATCCATACTTATGCTCTTAACACTTGACCACTTTTCTACTTGCAATTCATATTTCCATCGTTTTTTGCTTAAGTTTTCAAGTTGCCGTGAGGACCACAGGTGTGTGTAGAACTTTTCATTACCTGATGGGTTCTAATTAAGTGATAAAAAGCAGTTGCAAATGTTTTACAAAATACATATTCATCTCTGCACCAATCAAATGTGCTACACTTTACATTTTACTACCAAATTATATGTCATATTTTTTGCATGGATATTTATTTTTATAGATGTTCCTGAACATGATGAATGATATGCTTATCCTCAAATACTCTGAAGTGGTTTTAGAGATAGTGTGGATTTAGTGTGCTTTAAGGGCCCCGAGCTTTGGCATTTATCAGATCTGGGACAGTGGAGTACTGTACATCCAGGGCTAGTCTTAAAAAACACCACTAGATGGTGCTACATTAATGGGAAAACATTGATAATATAAAACAGATTAAGCAGTTTCATTACCAAAGAAAAATAAATGATTAAGTTCAAAGAAAGGGTTATTTAGTCCAGGAAAAAACATCACCTTTATCTAAAATGTTTCTCATTGCAATAATAATTTTAAGCGATCTCCACCTTGTATATTTTCTCCTACTCTTTCTAATGTAATCCTTCTGCTATTAGACTGTGGATTGCTGAGCTACCTGAAAGTTCTTCAGATGGCGCTTTGTTCTTCCCATATAAAATATAAAACAACCACACCTACATGACAGTCCATATATCCACCACATATTGTTCATTATAACTGATAAAAGACTTTATCACATAAACTATTTTTGTATTAAAATCAGTTTACAGTTTATATTCATACTCTACTTTGTTTTCTCTTAGGAAAATGAGGCCCTTGGTGCTGCTTTACATGCTTTTATGGATTTCCGCTCTACTTTAAGGTCCGAGGTAAGTGGCGACAGTGTTCAAAATGTGTAGAGCTTCAGTGTGAGAGCTTCGTTTTAGACCTTAGCAGAATAACTTGACCTCAAAGCATTGAACTTGGCCTGTTCTGTGGCACCTTCACTTAACCTAACCAGGTAATAACTACTACATGTCATTTAAATGCATCAACAACCATAAACTAAAGACATTTGTTTGTATACACTTTAAACAGTCAATTCCATAGCACCGAATAAAGGTTAGATAAACAAAGAGCATTAACATTATGTCAGGACTCTGACCAACATTTATTTATTCATTTTTTTAATCATTTATTACTTTCAAATGATTGAAAACGAATGGAACCAAACACTTTTTTCCTATGCTGATAGCTTAACTTTTATGGGCTGTCTGGCGCACTGAGTAATGTTTAGAGCTCATCACTAACAAAGACTTATGTATTACGATCATCCCTCAGTCACTCACAGTTAGTCTGCAAAACATCATAGACCTGACTTTGTTTCATTCCAAACCACAGAAGTATGAAGATACTGACTTTCCAATGCTGGACCAGGGAACGGAGATCTTTAAGACTCTTCACTACCTCAGCACTCTGATCCACAGCATTAAGAATCCCCTGGGAACACAGGAGAATCCAGCCAGAATGTGCAGAGATCTCTTTGAGTGCGAGCACAAGTTGAAAGATGGTGAGATATTAATAGTAAATTATCTCCATCGGAAATTTGATTGTTTTAGCTCTGTAATGATCACTAAAGCTACATTAACACCTCCAATTATGTAGCTAAAAACCAAGTGCAGTTTGTCACGTATGATAGGAATGAATAGGATAGGAATGGACTCATTCATTTTGTTTTGTATTTTACTGAAGGCACTTATTGGATAGATCCTAACCTGGGCTGCTTTTCTGACAATATTGAAGTGACCTGCAACTTCACCAATGGAGGTCAAACCTGCCTTAAGCCAGTTGCTGTGTCCAAGGTCTGTAAAGCTGACAACTAACTACATTATGAGCAAGATTGCACTGAATCTGAACCTGCAGAACTGAAATAGCTATGATTCCGCAAACTCTAGGTGTCCGTTATTCGACAAAATTGTTCACTCAAAAGTGAAAATCTGTCAATATGTCTTCTCTTTTATGTGGTCCCATAGTTCTAATCAATTGATTATGTTGTTATTGCTATCCTGAAGTTGGAGATTGGAGTGAGTCTGATCCAGATGAACTTCATCCACCTCCTGAGCTCTGAAGCTGTGCAGATCATCACCATTCACTGCCTGAACGTCTCTGTTTGGGCAGCAGGGCACTCCAAAACACCTTCCTCTAGTGCGGTGTACTTTAAAGCCTGGAATGGACAGATAATCGAGTTTGGGGGATTCATCGAGCCTGAACTGATAAAGGATGAGTGCTGGGTATGCATAAACTTATATTTAAACAATATTGGTGGGTAACAGGTAACTTTTTATTTATTTTGTAATGCAGGGTTTCCGAAAAAACGGTTTGTGAGCTGATAAAAAGCTAATAATTAGTTATAAAACATGTCAAATTAAAATAAATAAATGGGGCTGCACAAAAATTGCAATATAGTTTAGTGTGATTTCAGTGGCTCAGAGCAGCTCAGTTCACAGTAAATGCTAAAAACTCCATCATGTGCTGCGAGCTTAACATGCATTTGAAAACACAACTTCATTATTATTATTATTATTATTATTATTAATAATAATGTTATCAGTTCCTTAGGATAGGGTTACTAAAGCACCAGTGTAAATGCAATGTGGACAAATACACTATTACAACTAAAAAGATGTTCGAGTCCAGCTACAAAGATTAAATATTTTATCTATTTAATTGCATGTCAGTGTGACCATTAACCGACATCAAAGAGTCGTGAACATATGAATGTGCTGTTAAATTATTGCAATAATAACTTTAAATCTCAGGGGGTAATTCAAGTAATTATTTTACATCGAAATGGTTCAGCCAACAAAAAAGTTTGGGAAACCCCGGTGCAACAAAATTGTGGTTTTAACTATTTTACACATCATTATTAGGACACCTGATTATCACAATCAATCCTTCCACTTTCTGTCCTCTCAGATCACAGATGGTCGATGGCATCAGACACAGTTCATTTTCCAGACACAGGACCCAAACTTACTGCCCATTGTGGAGGTCTACAACTTGCCCAGCACAAAATCTGGATCACATTACCACCTTGAAGTGGGCCCTGTATGCTATTTATAAAGAAAGCAACAATGGAAGCCTTAAATACCCCGATGAGCAGCATTACGGAGCCTCTCTCTGGCCTAGAGGCCAACAAAACTGCACATCTCCTGTACAGTGTGGACTGCAGCCTTTAAACATGGGGAAAGAGGAGACTAGAGCAGCTTTGGAGAAAATAAGACTTCCTATGTGAGCAGCTCAGGATGACAGATTCTTTCTTTTCAGAGCTGGGTTTCTTCTGTTTGAAAACAAGGCCTGGATATGTGGTTGGAGGTGCTTATTAAACTCTTAATAGAAATCTTAATTTATTCATAGTTGTGTTTTTCACACGTGATTTATATAATGAAGTACTTATTTTATATTCTAAAGTTACACATGAACGTGTATTTATACATGTACATGCGTGTATGTATATTTTCTGTAAAGTGCAATAGAGAATGAACAGATTTTTGTTTTTAATAATGAAACTTCTGTTTGGCTGTTTTAGGTAAGTGAGGTTTACTGTCACTCATATCATTCAATTCAGGTTCATTGGCGTGTGTACTTGTGTATACCAGCAGGTCTGTTGTAAAAGCCTCAGATACCAACATACAACACATAAAACACACATATGCTTTCATTCATAGCCAGAATATGAGTCGAGGTGAATCCAGACTTGAAAAGTAACATATAAACGTCTACCTCCCATCTCTCATTTTTTGGGACAGTAAATGGATTCACATGCATTTAACTCCTGTGGCTAGATTTCTGTTTCCGTCAAATGGTTTTAACTTAAGTGCCTTTTATACATTAAAAGGGAATATTTTTGTAAACATTTTTAAAAAGTTCAAATGATCTCTTTTTTCAGCCAAACATATCTTTAATCCTTTATCTTCTAGTATGCCTTATTTGTACAAATATTTGAACTTTAAAGGCACAAGAATTATATTATTATAGCAGACATGGTGTTGAATGTGCTTTATATCACTCGACTGTAGGTCTTTCCATCATTAAGTACATATATGCAATTCCACAAGCCCTATCTGACTGCAGAAGTAATTGTTGACATGGTGTGTATCATAATTACTGACTTTTGTATGTCTTTGTTGAGGTGCGTGTACAAAGCTGAATGTTGCAGTTAGAAACACTGCAAACCCGAGTTGTAATATGGAGTTGCTGATCAAAATGAGAGCACTAGAATCTTCCACTATATTGGGTTTGTCATGAGCAGCAGCTTTGGCATCTAATTATTTCAATGGCTGTGACCAAAAAGTGTTATGTATGAAATTCTTTTGAAATATATCTGTTGTTTTGATCAAAACTGTCAGGAGCCATCTTATCTTGCCAAATATATGTTCTTTGTATGTGTAAATTTGAAGTCTCACTGTAATATGTGTTCTGTTATTTCAGAGCAGACAAACTAAGAAGGGTGGATATTCTTATAATGAATATTTCTATGGTCAAACATAACCTCCGAAAAACAGCAAACACCAAAGAACAACGTTTTCAGTGTTGTATGAATTAAATCATTGATACCACAGAAACAGACAGCAGTCTTTATATCTGTCTGCCTTACTAAAGTTCTTGTCTTTCTGGCCATTTCTGTGTCTCGTTTGAATAAAGAATTATGAAAACATGTTGACAATGTTGTTCATACTCACCCTCATTTTATTCCAATGCTGTATGTTGCAAAAATAGAAATCTTTAAGAATCTTAATGACACAAGGGAGGTTAGGACGATATCAATGGCCCAACGAGGGAGAGGGGGGCCGAACGTGATTTCTACCGAGGGACCACCAGGAACGGATTTAGTCTGTATAGACACCTAAACTGCATGATGTTATTGCATAGTGGATGCTAAAATACTGCTGCTTTTATTCAAGTATCTCTTGGAAAGAGTGCCTAGAAGATGTGCAGTCTTATGAACCAGTATCACAACTGGTTTAAGATATCAATGGACCATGGATCATTAATGAGCTTTACATACACACAGACCTTCCGAGAGAGGTGGGATGTCTTATCATTCATCAACATGCTCGGCTAGGTAAGGACTCCAGCATTTGGAACCAGTCTGGTGTATTTACGACATCTACAGGAGGTGATGGGACAGTACTAACCTGCAAATCTATGAAATATTTTAACAGCTACTATCATGGGTGAGGCAAATGGGTGGTTGGGCTTGGGCCTATATAAAACAGGGTGGGCAAAGTCTAGCATATGAAAACCGCATGTCAAATTGGCAACAGAAAATGCAGCACAACGGTTCAATACACAATATTTCTAAAGCATTGATTAAAGTTTTGTTCACCAAAAAATGAAGATTCTGTCATTAATTACTCATGTCATTACAAACTTGTAAGACTTTCGTTCAACTTCGGAACACAAATGAAAATATTTTTGATGAAATCCGAGAGCTTTCTGACCCTGCACAGACAGCAAGGGAACTACCACGTTCAAGGCCCAGAAGGGAAGTGAGGACATAGTTAAAACAGTCCATGTGAAGTGGTTCAACCTTAATTTTATGAAGCTACGAGAATACTTTTTGTGTGCAAAGAAAACAAAAATATTTTTTTATTTAACAATTTATCCTCTTCTGTGTCATGGGAAGAGAATAGGAAAGATTAATACACATTTTTAATAAAAAAAGACACTATTTCTATTTCTGGCCAACGTCACTTATTTATTCATAATGATACAACACTGCCACCTAGTGACAAGACATGAAAACAACACAATGAAATTTGGAATAATTTACACTTTAACAATATATTATTAAAAATAACTCCCACAAGTATGATCAAGTATATGAAAAGGCCAGTCATTTATCACTTGATTGTTAAGACTTGATAAGACAAGAAAACAGTCAAAAAGTTAAATGAATTGCTTGGTCAAAATTCATCTGCTGCACTATTAACAATATTTCATGTTATATCCATGATCACATGATGTGTATACTGTTGATGTGCCACAACCTAAATACTTACTGATGTACATAGGTATAAGCACTCCTAGCGAGATTTCCTATCTTTGATGTAGTGTGTGTTTTGCGAGGGACCAACCCAAGGTCTCCAGTTTTGAAGTGAGAAAGATGTGAAGTGGATTTCTGGAGGAGTTCACATGGTCTGGAGTTGAAAGCAAGCATGAGAGTCATTGAATCACACTGTCAATATTATTATATGGTTAGTATGTCTTAGAGCTGCAATATGTTGCATGTCCGTTTTAATGAATTTGTACCTTTTTATGTCAGAGGGTTTTTTAAGATCATGACTGCAAGTCACCTCTGGCAGGAACTCAGTAAGAGCTGGACCGTTTCCTAAAGCTGCAGCACTGTCCAGCACAGCCAGCAGCTTCTGCATCATCTGATTTCGTCTGACCGTAATCTTCAGTTCTGAGTCTTCCTCTTTAGGGATCTCCTGTAACCAAACCAGAGTAAGACCTCTGTTTATTTACTTGGCTGTAACACCAAATGATAAATGATCTGTTTATGTTCACTCTTACCCTTAGGGCCTCCTTTAAAGCTACGGTTGCTTCCTCAAGAACTGTCTTTAGCTGTTTTCTCAGCGTCCTTTCCTCTTCAAGCTCTTTCCTCTGTCTCTTGGCTTCAGCTTTTGTTTGGTTCAGCACTTCTATATCTGTTGCGTGTTTCTTTCTGTAGGTACAGTGTTGGTAATACTATTAAAATACACTGCAAAAAGTATTTAAAGGAAATTATTTAACTTATAAGTGACTTCAGGAGTCAAACCTGAGAGCATCAAGCTCTGTGCATACTGCAGAATGATTGTCTAGCAGCTCTTGGTGCTCCACTTTAAGTTTGACACATTTCTCCACTTCAGACTGCATTTGCTTGCACTTTTCTGTCAATTGATGGACTACCTTGAGAAAGAGATATGTTTCATTTTTGCTCTAGGTTATGTAATATGCACGTGTTTCCAAACAGCTTAAAAATGCATGAAAGAATAGATGTATAAACTGGCTACCTTTTGATTGGCAACATTCTTCTTGGTTATCTCATGTATCAGTGGTTCTGTAATTGCATTCTCGATTTTGAGTTGCTTTTCTCTTGCTCGCAGATCATCATTCTCCTTCAGCAGCTCCTTGGTCTTGTCTGAGAGCTGCTGAAGTTGAGCTGTCACAGAGAGGTTTTCTTGCATGGCCCTCTTTGTCGTCTCGGGCATCTTCTGGTCTGAAACCCACCGGAATTCAGCTGCTACAGCAGCAACATGTTGCAGCATTTCTTTCTTTAGCCTGTATCAGCCAAAGAGGTCAAATAAATAAAATGCAGTATTTATCTTATTTTAAATGCATTTATTTGTTTACCAACATTATATATAAATTATACATTTAAAAAAATGTGTAAACATTCAAAAAAATTATTTAATATTGGTAACACAATAAGTTTCAATTTGTTAATAATCAGAATTATTCCTAAAGCATGTATTAATCTTAGTTAATGTTAATTTTAACATTTACTAATACGTTTGTAAAATAAAAAGTTGTATATGTTTAGTATTATTGAATGGATCTGAATGAATATGAACTAATAATGAAAAGTTGTATTTTTATTAACCAGTGTTAGGTTAATAAATACTGTAACAAATGTTTTGTTCAATGTTAGTTATTATGCCTTAACTAATGGGACTTTATGGTTACCTTAATCTTTTTAAAGACTATTTATTGCTATTTGTGTGTGTGTGTGTGTGTGTGTGTGTGTGTGTGTGTGTGTGAAAACAGAAGTTAAAAAATCTCCACAACAAAGTGAGTCCAAGGATTTGAATGCAGTACTATACGTATATACCAAGCAACAGATCCACTTATGTATTGAACAAATGCCTCTTTGTAAGGCCTTACATTGCAATCATTCACTGAAAACAGAAGATGAATGGAAACCAGTATCTCATTTGACATATATTTAATTTATAATGTTCGGCTTCAGACCTCAAATAATGCACAAAATTTATGAAAAATAGTTGATATTCATCTAAGAATGCACGTCCCATGACCTTGATCTCTGAACAATGAGTATGAACATGCTCACCTGTCATTGTCCAGTACAGCTTTTTTCTCCAGATTATAGATGTGTGCTTGATGCTCTTCTTTTTGCGTTTGAAGCTGCTCTTTCAAAGACCTGCGCTCAGCCATGAGCTTCTCTCTCTGCATAGAAAACTCCTCCAAAGACGCCAGCTTACCAGCTGAACGCAAAAAGGTTAACACATTTTAATTAATGATTGGTTGAAAGGTGCATTTATTAATATCACGGTTAGTGATAACATATACGTTTTCATTTCATTCGATGTTTATATTCGGTGTGAATGTGAAACTGCTCAAAAGCTTGTACCAAGCGCCATGTTCTCAGATGTGAGTTTTTCCTTATGGTCCTGAAGCTCATGTCTAAGCAGGCTCAGTTGTAACTCAAAGGACTCCCTCTCAGCCTCTTGGGCTTGCTGGTGTCTTGATAAGGTCTCAGCCAGATCAGTCAGTTCATCCTCTTTTTGAGCCAGTGTGCGTTTCAGGTAGAGAACTATGTCTTTCTTCTCTTTCTCCAAATTATTGATCTTAGAGTACAAGTCCTTTTCTTGAACCTCCAGTTCATCACATTTATGTTGATATCTGCAAGAAAAAAAAAACAAGTTCGCAGTTGGTAATAGCTTGTATGAGGCAAGTGCTTCCTGTTGAGGGTATGTTTGTTTAAGTATAGTGTCTGTTTAATCATTAACAGTAGATTATAATCCAAAGTCTATTTCATTTGAGTTTCCTCAAAGGCACGTAGCCTACATGAGCAACACGAATAAATAGGCTACTATGAACTAAATTCTCGTGGCCTATATTTTAATCCAAAGATACTGGACCTTCAATCAACTTGTCAAATCAACATTATCATTAGGTGAGTGTTTGCTGCGCACGTCCCCATTACTTTGGATTTACCAGGCTACATTAATGTACAAGTGCGTTTTTGTGTTTGAGTTGCTGAGTTTTTTTCTCAGATAAATTCAGAAGTATTTTCTTGTAAACCCCTGACTAATGTAACATAATAAACAGCCATGTAAAATAAATCCGTGGTAACTTGCAAGAGACTCGCACCTTTCCAGTCGCTCCTCCGAGTCGCGTATTTGAGCCCGATAAAAGTTTTTGTCACTCTCCGTCAATTCTTCGTCGTTTTTCTGCTCGGGATTCATACTTCCCTTTTTAAGTGATTTATCTCCGCTCCCTTTTCCATTCTTTTTGGGAGGCATTGGACGTTTACGTAATTTAAACGAAACAGTCTGAGAAATACAAACTTGCAAATGCAATTGTTTCTTGTTGCCATGGTCGTGTGTCATGCGCCTGCGCAGAGACGTGCGCGAGAGTACCCAGTGCTTTTTTTTGTCTTTTTCACAGTTTTTCAAAACCTAAAATAGTTGAAATATTATACAAAGAGCCTGAGGTGAGGGCATATTAAACTGTCGTTTCAGTTTCATTTTTGATTGAGTTGTAGCCCTTTGCAAATTCGACATATTTCTCTGTTTGATATAAATGCGTCAGTTTAGGTTAATGTTAAAAAACTGAACCTTATTGATTATAATATATGGAGAGAGAGAGCGAGAGAGCTTTTTACTTTTTTACTTGGTTTGTACAAAGTTGTATTTGAA